GAGAGAGAGAGAGAGAGAGAGGAAAGTTCATGTCAGGACCTCTAAAAACGGACCTCCGTACGGACCTCGGCGTTTGGGCCCCTTCCCGGTGGAATTTTTTGATGAAACTTTTTGAGCATGTTCTTCATCAAGTCTAGTTTATCCACACCAAATTTCAGCTAAAAATTCCATCGGGAAGGCAGTCAAATGATTTTTGGAAGTTAACTGCATTTTATATGTATATAAAGTGCGCAGTTAACTTCCAAAAATCATTTGACTGCTTTCCCGATAGAATTTTTAGCTGAAATTTGGTATGGATAAACTAGACTCGATGATAAAAAAAAGTATATATTCAAATATGAATATTCATAGCCAATACTAAATTTAATCAAATATATTTGAAGAAATAATTACATATGTGTGTGTGTCGTGTGTGTGATGTACAATGTGTACGTAGTGACCATAATATACTCCATAGATTATGTTGAATATTTACATTTAAATGACTATAAGATTATACTGTAATAATAAGAAAATGTAAAGAAAATGACTATAAGATTATACTCCGTACTATGTATAGTACTAGTAGCTATTAATTACATTTTTATAAATAAGCTTCATTTGAGTTAATACTTTAAAAAACCTCATATTTGAAATAGTAATCAAATCAAATATAAATACTCTTTTGATTAAATTTGTATTCTAACCAAATACAAATTTAAATCATATAGAAAATTATCAAATTCAATTAATAAATACAAATACTATTCAATTTATTTACAATCCTACTTTTTATTACTGAAGTTCCTGAAAATGGATTGTCAATTTAGTGTTTTGCATATGTTTTCTTGATTTTACTAATAAAATGCATTCAAAATATAATTTGTTCACATTTAATCACCTTTGGCCATCCCAATCCAAACACAACTTGATGTAACTATCTCGTCCACATTGTCCATTTTAAATCGCACCAAATTAACCGGCCTTTAGTACTTGATGTCAACTTTAGATTAAGACTATAATGTAGACACTTAACTATTATCAATCATTACACGATATACTTTTCGATTTTCGTTACCGGAAGCTTGAAAAAGTGAAGGAGGCTGCAATTCAAAGATTGAAAAAGTAGATTTGCAGTTAAGCTTCTCTTTTATTTGAGGTTGTTTGCAGTTAAACTTATCTTTTAATTGAGGCTGGTCAAAGAGAAATTTCATACCATGCAAAAATAAGAATTAGAGCATCCCCGTCCATTAGATTATTTGAGGTTTAATTGGATGATGTGGAAGATTATTGAGTGAGAGATTATTAAGGGAGATTATTGAAAAAGAAAATCCGGTATCAAGATTTGGATCCCGGATTATTTTAGGTTGTAGTTAAATTGCATTTAATACATGGACTAGAATAAATAATTATTTGAGTATCATGGTTGACAAATAGTTTTAAGATTTGAAATTATTTAAAATTTATTGAGTATTAGTGATGTGACAATGCTGTGTAATAGAAAAATCATTTACTTTAAGATCGTGAATGGAGATGTTCTTAGTGATTGAATAAATACATCCTTCTAGGGCTTGAAGCTATTATCACACCCATTGTCAGTCGCCGTACTACGGCTTTCACCGGCCACCAGGCGGACCTCGATCAGCCACCGTCAGTTGCTGGACCTCCCCTCCTTTGTTGGTCGCCAGACCTTCTCCTCCAACTAACGCTGGAATCCGCGCTACCACTGCCAACATCCACCATCCTAAGGCCTACACTCTAACCTAAAACACTATATACTAGGGTATATTTTTTCTCAAAATGTATTACTCCTATTTAGAAAAATAAAACATAAACTCCTATTTTTGCACTTCTTTTATGCTTTATTCCTATTTTAGGCTGTTTTTTGTCAAATTAGTATATCCACTTCTAGGTAAGAGCATTTCCAATGCTATAATATGTGCGTTGCACATGTGGCAGGAAAGACATAGATGCAAAAGATTAAATTTTTGAAATTTCTCTCTCCTTTCCGCGGTCGTATGTGTTTTTGGTAAATTTTTCTCAACAATGTCAACCACAATGTGTACATCTAAACATTGTGTGTTGGTTCCAGATTTCTGTAGACTAACACACAGCTAGATGGATATCATCGAATAAACAGATAAGAAAGATTTCACAGAATGATCTATGCAATATCGAGAACAGAGAAATCCTCTTTTCTATTTATCGAGAAGTTTTTACAACGTAAGGCGGCTACTGAGCAGAATTATTGACTTTTAGACTTGTACACTAACGCGCATATTTATAGGCGCAGTGCAAGTACCTAAAGTGGTAACCTAGGAGTTTGAGCCTAAAGCCTTTTTGGGCCTTATTCCCTTACAACCTATTTATTACATACTTAATAATACCATAAATGGTATACCTAATCTATTAAATAAACAAGACATAATAGACAAACTTGATTCGCAATAAAATAGTTCTAACAATCTCCCCCTTTGTGATCAAGTGTTGTCTTGCTTGGGTATCCTTTATTTCTGAGCTTTGTAATAGTCCTTGCGAAGATTCAGTGCATGCTCGTAGTTCCCGAGAGACTTTCTTCTGTCAAGCTGCTTCTCGATTGCATTCAACACTTTGTCAATTCTGTTCGATTTTGTTAGTTCGGCTTCTGTTGCATCTGCATACTTCTGTTGTCTTTCTTCAAATTTCCTTCTGATTGGATCCAATTTTTCTTTCACAATCTTCAGCGTCCCATCACAGTACTTATTTAGCTCGTCAATGAACATCATACGCTTCTCACCATTATGATTCAAATATATGAGTGATAAGTCCATTTTTGAACTTATTTTTCTTATCAAATTTAAGCGATTTTTGAATGAAAATAGAAAGAAAAGACACATTTTATATATTTTGGTTCAAGTTTCATGAAATCAGGTAAAAATCACATCCATAATATGTTTAGCGGGATTTCGGGTCAATTGAGCACAAAATGAGTCAATTTGAGTGACAAATGCATTTATACCGGAAGAAGCAAGCATTTTATCAAGGTGATTCAGAAGACAAAAATGAAGAGCAGGAAAAGCCGCATCTACCAGACAAAAATAGCAGAAGGCGCCCAAATAGGCGCCCAAAATGAAGGCCTTCGCGGCCGCCTACGGTATTTTTGGAAAGTCAAACTTTGACTTTGACCGGATTCGGAAAAGACCGTAGGCCGCCGACACTGGACGGAAGGCGGCCGCCTACGGTGACCGCCTGCGGCAGAAGACGACGAAGCAACCGCCGGCCGGTGGGATTTGACGGCAGGCGGCCAGACAGGAACGGCAGGCGGCCGCCTGCTGGACCGCCTGCGGCGGCCGGGATCCGCCGGGATCCGCCGCGATCCGATTTGACAATGAAAAGACGGCAGGCGGCCGATGTGTGACGGAAGGCGGCCGCCCTCTGTGGCCGCCTACGGCTGACGGGGACCGGCCACCGACCGCTGTCGGCGACGAAGACGGCAGGCGGCCGGAGAGAGGCGGAAGGCGGCCGCCTGGTTGGCCGCCTTCGGGGAAATTTCTCCTATAAATAGCCCGATTTTTCCTCAACTCAAACACACCTCTTCCAACCCTAAATCAGTTCAAAACACCTTCTTTCTTCCTCCATTTTCGAGCTTCAAAGGGTTTAGAGAGAGAGAAACTTCAAATCTTCATATCTTCTTCATTTTAGCTCCAAATTGTAAGTTCTTTATATGTATTTTCATCTTCTCAATGTGTAGAATCTGAATCTGTGCTTTGTTTCTTCGATCTGTTCTTCGAAAATTTCCAGATTATTTTTCAAGTATTTCGCATTTCCTTCCAAAAATTAAATAAAATAGTTATTGTTGTTGAATTCATTCCAATTAATTATATAGTTGTTCAATAGCCTCAAGGTAGTTATTTATCTGAAAAAATTAATTTTTCACGAACCAGAAGTAATTTTTAATTAATTTTGGTAATTATTTGATATTAGTTCATAATTTAGAATTAATACTAGAAAAAAAGAAAAAAATGAGTTCGGCCCTATTTACAGTTTTGTTAACTTAAATATCATTACTAGTAGTTAATATAAAATTTGGTACGAATTTAGAGTATTTTTTATTAATTTCGGTAATTACCTTATATTATTGCTTAAATCAAAATAAATACTAAAAAAGGAAAAAAAATTAGTTCGGACCTGATTACAGTTTATTCACAGTTATATACCTCCCAGTAGCTAAAAATAAAATTTATAACGAAGTTAGCATATTTTTAGTTGCTTTTTGTATTTTCTAGTTAAAATTGGGAAAGTTATCAATTAGTTGTTAAAATTGGATTTTAGTTTCAAAAATTCGTAAAAAAAATTCCAGAAAGTTGTATTTTAGTTCCTACAAGTTTATTGTTCCAGAATATAATTTTTGTTTAATTTTTGCTATCATACATGTTTAATTCCTTGTTAATGTTGAATTTAATTATTATATCGTTAATTGTAAAAATGATAATGAGTAGCTAAATTTGTTAGGGCATGAATTGAGTAAAGGAATATGGATTGACTTGTTGACCTAAAATTAGGGGGTAAAATTAATAAATTGGACTAGTTGTTTAAAATGATGAAATAGTAATTAATAATAGTTAGCCATTTTCATTAATTAAATTCTTGGAAAATTAATTCTAACTTGTCTATGAGATTAGAAATTAATTTAAGCCAACCATATTTGAGCACATTAATAAGGCCTAGAAATAGGATAATTTAATGAAAAGGATTTACATCTTGTCTATGAGAAATAAATTCAATTGCTAAAATAAAGAGTTTAACTAGTTAATGAATTTGGCTATTTTTATTAATTAAAATATTGGAAAATTATTTCTACCTTGTCTATGGGTTTAGAATATAATTTAAGCCAACCATTTTAAACACATTAATGATACCTAGAAATAGGATAAATTAATGAAGATAGTTTCTATTCTTGTCTATGAGGAAAGAAATTATTAGTCCAACTTTAGTCTTAATTTCCCTAATTAAGAGGTCCAAGAACATATCCATTTCTAATTACTCAATTCATTGCCCTTATTTGCATCCTTGAATAATCAGTCTTTATACATTAATCTTTAAATTGCACCTTGCTCCTAGTTATAATTTAGCATAATAAAGAACAAAAACACTTTCCTATATTGAAAAGGCTTCCAACGATTAGCGATAGCCCGTGACTAAAATTAAATTAAGAAACTTCTCCGCCATTCCTCAAGAGACACGACACTCGGGGAAAAACCGAAAGGTTAGACTCCGTTTTACTACAACGCCGCGAAAGCGGTTATCAATGAGTGTGATCGGGCTATCGAAGATGTAGTATGCAGGAAAATCTTCAAGCTCCGGTCCGTACAGCTTTGGTCTTGAGAGGTTTGTTTTTGGCAGATTGGTTTCAAGGGCCATCTGAAGATCATGAGAGGAAAAGAATTTGATTTGTCTGATTATAAAGCGCTTGAGTGCTTCAAAGCCATCTTGTGTAGTTCTGTCGCGGGTAATGGGAATCTCTTGGAAATCTAGATACATCTGGTAAATGTCGTCCATTTTTAGCATATAGAGATCATTTTCCTTGCAGGTGAATTCAGTCCCGTCAGAAAGCTGTAGGCGGTAAACAGAGAGTGGGTCTGTTGAGTACGCTCCATACTGGGTCTGTTGCTGTTTGTAGTTCATGTTGGCACACTTCTCTCTATTTCCCCATGTAGTGATGACTAAGCAGGAACAGTTGTCCGCCCTTGTTCTTTCCTCGCAGATGATTAAGGCCACAGGTTTTCAATTCGTCCAGTTCCTTGACTTTGTCATCTCTTCGCCATATAAGCTTTCTGATTTCCTCTTGGAAAGGAGCATTGATGTTGATATTTTCCCAGGGCTTTTCACTCCTGGGCATTAGAGCCGTTGTTTGTCGGATGATAGATTCCAGCTCCTTGGGGGGTTCCTGATAATTCTCTCCTTCCTTGAGTTCATCATCACCAAGTAGTATCAAATCAGTAGCGCATTTAGCTAGGAGCTCTGATAGGCTCTTCGTTGTGTGTCATCTATATCTGTCCATAGCTGTGATCATCTGTTGTGCACAAGTATTTCTTCAAGTTCATCGTGTATCTGATCATTGGAGAAGCTAGAGGGAACTTGTTGCTGTGTCGGAGGTGATAACCTGTCAAGTAGGCTTTTTACTTCTGATTGAATGACTAACTCTCTGCCACACTTCGAATGGATATTCAATGAAACAATGTTTCACTAAATCCTTATATACTCTGCAAAAACAGCAATCTATGGTTCAATTTTACAACTATAGATGTGTGTGCCTATGCAGCTCCCAAATATCGAATAACAATATACAAATTGAATCATAAATAAAAACAAACAATATAAACAAGTAGTTAAAAGTGATAAACATGAAGCAGCATAGTGCAACCAAAAGATACACAATACTACAAAAAGCAACAAATAAAAAAGCAACAAAAAACAACAAAAGCAACAAAAAGAAACAAGACAAATGGAAATAAAACAACATATAATAATATCAAATAAGTACATATTTCAAAAAATAGAACACAAAACAAAGAATTATATCTCATCTGCACATTGTAAAACTGACCACACTCATTAGCATGCAACATATCAAGATGAAGCTAACAAAAACATTACGATACAAATTCATGGTTCCACTGAATCTAATTAACAAATTCAAACACACCAAACGCCATTAGAGATGTCATGTATTAACTTTACCTTTGCTTTTGCTGAATCAATTGATTATGAAATTGACCATTCCTTCCTAGATTTTAAGGCCATAACCTCATCCTCCAACAAAGCAACCATAACAGCCCTTCCTTCTGCATCATCGCATGATCTCGCAAGCACCATAATACAATATTAATCCTCAACGCTATATTGATAGCTTACGTTGAAACCGTCGTTATCCGTGTCGAGGAGTGTTGTTTCGCCCTGCACAACATGAAATCGAGGTTGCCTTTGTGTCTCTCTGTAACACCCCGGCCCCACCGGACCCGAGGTAGTTACTCCGGACCAATAGTACTGTCCCCACAAACCACCACGAGCCTTTACCGCGCACTTTGTCCTCACTCATGCGCGCCCCGAGAAACTTCCCAGGGGGTCACCCATCCCAAGACTACTCCCGTGCAAGCACGCTTAACTTTGAAGTTCTTGGGTGATGAGCTCCCTTAAAAGGAGATGCACCTCTGTTGGTATGAGTAGTACTATTAATCCGTTTATATTAAATCTCAAATGTTACAATCACCCCCACTTAGGATCGCAACGTCCTAAGACCAATCTCAAATCTCAATCAAATCCTAGAATCTTCCCCCGCTAAGTGCCCGCCCGATATCCAACGGGTCATCACACTGTCACGGGATTGCTCTGATACCACCTAAAACACCCCGGCCCCCGTGGATATCGGGCGGGCACTTAGCGGGGGAAGATTCTAGGATTTGATTGAGATTTGAGATTGGTCTTAGGACGTTGCGATCCTAAGTGGGGGTGATTGTAACATTTGAGATTTAATATAAACGGATTAATAGTACTACTCATACCAACAGAGGTGCATCTCCTTTTAAGGGAGCTCATCACCCAAGAACTTCAAAGTTAAGCGTGCTTGCACGGGAGTAGTCTTGGGATGGGTGACCCCCTGGGAAGTTTCTCGGGGCGCGCATGAGTGAGGACAAAGTGCGCGGTAAAGGCTCGTGGTGGTTTGTGGGGACAGTACTATTGGTCCGGAGTAACTACCTCGGGTCCGGTGGGGCCGGGGTGTTACAGTTGGTATCAGAGCTAATGGTTTTTTCCGGGGCATTTTCCAAAACATTTTTCCTAAAGTCTTTTAAACAAATTTTTAAAATTTTTCCCATGTTTAATAAATTTTATTAAGTGATACCAACAAGTTGGTATCACAGACTATGGTTCTCTGGGGGATTTCTCTAAACAATTTTTCTAAGGTTTTGTAAAGAGGTTTGCACACATTTTTAAAATTTCCTTTAAAGGTTTTTCAAAATGCTTTTCCAAATTATATTTGAAAAAAAAAAAACAATCTAGGACTAAAATAAAATTTTAGGCACGTGGTGAGGTTGTGAGACTTTGATTTTGATTTCCGTTGATTTTGCGGCTCTTTTGATTTTCTTGGGATATGTTTAAGTGTGACATACCCATATATGTTTATTTTAGGATAAGTTTGGACTTATAGAAGAACTTTAGACAATATTTGATTAGTGAGTTATTGGTTAGAGTAGTAAAATTGTGAATACTGGCTATTTGATAGATTTCTTATTTGTGTCCTAAACGCTATCCTTTTCAAGGAGACAATGACGTCAACGAGGAACAACTTCGAGAACAATGATGCCACACCAACGAACTCGGAGTTAGCTCAAAATATGGCCCAACTAACACAACTCATCCAGACTGTCACGAATGTGTTACTGCAGAATCAAAACCAACAACATCTCAACACCCGTAATGATGTAGCGAAACTTATAGCGAAGCGCAATCCCCCGAGCTATTTTGGTGAAGAAGATCCTCGCATCCTTGAGGATTGGATTCGCACTTTTGACAAACTATTCGACGCCATAAACTGCCCCGCGGATCAACGGGTTGATATAGCTGCATACTACTTACGTCAAGAGGCGGATAATTGGTGGGCCATGACTGGCCCAACATTGCGTCAACAACCTGACTTTTCTTGGGAGACGTTTAAGAAGGCAATGCGAGAAAGATTCTATCCAGAGCACGTGAGAGCTGAGAAGTACGAAGAATTCTTACATCTGAAGCAAGTGGGTATGACCGTTCAAGAGTATCACGCCAAATTCTTGGAGCTCGCACGATTTGCACCTGCGCTAGTTCCCGATGAAATTGACAAAACTAACAAGTTTATACGTGGTCTAAACTTCGAGACACAAAAAGCTCTTTGCGTTACAGAATGCCAAACTCTGAATGAGGCCTACGGCAAAGCTGCCAAGCATTACCGAGTGAAACAGCTCCAGAAAGAAGCACTTAAGAAAGCGAGAAAGGGCACCGAAGAAGAAAGCAAACGGGGAGACAAACGACAGAGGCCAAATCATCTCAAGGAGACCCGAAACAAGAACAAGATCAACAATCAAGGTCACAATCAAAAGCGTAAGAAAAACTATTCCGCTGATACCGCACACTTCTATTGCACGAAATGTGGAAAGGATCACCCTGGGAAATACTGTGACGGAACGCTCGTGCGATGTTTTTATTGTGACAAGTTAGGTCATAGAGTGTTTGAGTGTCGTTCCAAGAAGAAAGGCTTACCCCCAAATGATGGACGCCATCGTCAAGGGAAGAATGACAACCGCAACAGAAGAATCTCAGAGTAGTAGGTGAGACCGTTTAAATTTCTAATTATCAGTAGTAGTAAATTTCGTTGAGAATAATGTATCGTATTGGTCTTGAATGAATAATAATTATTTTATTTGAGTAAGTTGTATGCTTCGGGGACGAAGCATATTTTGAAGGGGGGTAGAATGTAACACTCCGAAAATTTAAATAAAATATAATAGCTAAGATATTAATTAGGTAAAAATGTAATTTGTGAAAAAGTGACATTTTAACAATTTTAAACCAAAGTGTATTGATAATAATAATAATAATAATGACAACAACAACAACAACAAAGGTTGATTCTTTTTTTTAAACATATAAAAACTAATAAACGCCTATACACAACATGTTCGTACTTAGTCATGACCGGCAATTATTCTACATTATGATACAAATAAATGATACTAGTATTATAACAAAGATTTTGGGTAACGGAAGGAGTTGCTTGACATGCCCATATATTTCACACGTATATAGCATATATTAATATAATAATATAATATATAATAATAATAGTAATAATGTAATATAATCATAATAAATGGGAATGATTGATCGAATGGCTCACGCGGCATGCCTGAAACCCTATTCTAGAAACATCGAATCTGAAGGTATATATGTATGACTTCCCACCGATGGAGAACCCGCCGCCTACATATACACGTAAATACATTACATATACGAAGTATATCCCATTACATATACCATCTGCAGCATATACGACCATCACCTGCGTTTTCACCTATCACCAAAGTAACGAAGCTTCACCGTGAACTGTCGGCCGGTGTAGCAAAACAGAGGAAGAAAGAGGAGAAGCAGATGAACGTCGCCGGACTGATTCACGCCTGAAGAACAGGGAGAACCGCTGGAGAACCTTTCAGATCGCCGGACTGTTGAAACTAAGAAGGGTTGTTGTCGGACGTTGTCACGTTTCTAACGAGAATCGCTGGGGATAGAGGAATACGTCGTGACCACTGCCGGGCTGGTTTCTGGACCATCATCGCCGGAAGGAAGAGCTGCCGTTCTGCGTTGCAATGGATGTGCCGCCATGTCACCGCCGGTATACCTTACTGTAGACGATGAGATGAGAGTGCCGGGGTGAGGAACACCGCATTGAACGTCGATCCGCCCTGCGTCGTCAGAACCATCAATGAAGATAGGTACGTTCCTCTCCGTTGCTTCTGTATGGGCGTAATACTCCATTATTTGTTGATTTAAAGTGGGCTGAGTCTATTTTATTAAAGTTGGACCCAAATTTATTGTGAAGTGTTTGGATTATACTTACGGGATATTGATGGCTTTTAGACAATGGACTTTATGAGATTAGAATGAAGATGGAATTAACTGAATACATTAAACTATCATTGAAGCAATAAATTCATAAGCAAAGGAATTCATAAGGTTAGAGGATCGGATACAACTACAAGTTCATTACTTATTGATATTAGAATTTTAATATTCTTAGAAGGTCAATTTGGAGAAGACTGAGGTAGAAGCTTCGATTAGGAGTTATCGTGATTTGAGGTAAGTTCCACGACAACCAACATTATACTTTTACTCGTAAATCTATGTATGATTATTCATTTGAAATTATTATTTGAGTATTTATGAGAATTCTTGAACTTACATTTATTTTTGAGTATTTGGAATTATGTATGAATTGTTATCGAGAAATTATATTTGAGATTTGAGTATTTGATATTGGATGATATTTTGAGTAGCTGTTGGGATTAAAATTGAGATTTGAGCTATTTATGAAGTATTCTATATTTTGGCTCTCTTGTGAAATTTTAATGTATGGTACATTTGAGTGTAATTTGTTGGAGTTAATATTTTACATTGTGGATTATTTTGTGGAGTTTGGATTTCATATCCGTTTTGGTTGAGGTTGTGATATTGGTTTGGAACTTTGAGAGTGAATTGTGATTTTTGGTGAGCACCCAGAGAAATCTGTGGTGTCGGTTTGCCACATCCGGATAAATGTGGTATTGGTGAGTGGTAATGGCTATAAGTCTAAATCCACCAGGGGTACTTCCCAAAAGCGGAGTATCCCAGCTTAATCGTAGTGTAGTTGGTAGAAAAATCCCGACTACTCGGGCTTCTTACTACCCGGAGGGCTTGGAATCCCTTTTAGGGGGTGTGCACACTTAAGGTAGGAGTTCGGCTTCCACTAGCTTTGATTGGGTTTGAAGTGAACTGGACTTTGATTGGATTGAGGTGATTGAGATTATTTGATTGGCTTGATTTGGACTTGAGGTGAATATTATTTGATTGGATTTGTGGTGAATTAAAGTATTGGATTGATTGGAATTGTTGGATTATTGGATTGGATTATATTTGGATTGAGTTGTTAAATTATTTGTGGGTTTTACTTTTGGATTTGATTTGGTTTGAGTATGTTGATTACTCTTTATTATCAGCATTTATAAGTATTTTGAGATATTTGGTGTTTGATTTATGCTTTGGAATTATTGTAATGAGTTTTGGTGGTTTTACGTATATTTGGTATTTTATGTAATTTTTGTGGTTGGGAAATATTTGCTTATATTTGAGGTACTATTATTTTACTAGTGAATTATGCTATGAGAAGATTTCAA